TGCATAACCATATAAGCGCCATTTTCGACTATCCCAGTGTAAAAAAGGAAAATCATAAAGAATTGAGAAGTCTGAATGATAGTATAACCAAACATATTAGGTCTTTAAAAAATTTGGAGTTAGATGTCACTGGCTGGGATCCTTTGATTATTTATTTAATTCCAAATCAAAATTATCTCTCTCTCTCTATTTATCAATTAAAATACGTTTCGGTGTATTTTTCCACCATCATCAGTTTTTATAAAATATTCATCATATCATATCACACTGATGTGATATGATATGAGTTTTTTTTTTATCCGATACTGAATGAGATCTCGTCTCATTCAGTATCGTACTAGGAAAATATCCGAAATAAATAGAGTGACAAAGAGGTCCATATTGTCCGTAATATGTCAAATTTTTTACCCTTTGGGTCTTTTGGGGCCAATAATAAWAGTGGCTAAACTAATCTTACAGGAATTATGGAAGCAAAAAATAGRTTGGGATGATGTCAACATATCATCGGATTTGCAAAATAAATGGGTTACATTTTTGAAAGAACTACCATTGGTCAATAAATTAGAAATACCTCGTAGGGTGTTTTACGCGGAATGTTCTAGGGCGGAACTCCATGGATTCTGTGATGCATCTGAAAGGGCTTATGGGGCGGTMTTATATATAAGAATCCTTATGCTTGATGGTTCCGTCAATAACCACTTGTAAATGTAAATTAAATGTAAATGTAAACTCACCAAAAATGTAAATTTACCAAGGTTAGAGCTTTGTGGGGCTGTCCTATTGGCAAATTTGACTAGAAAAGTAATTACAACCAGTGAAATAAGGTTTGATAACTTTTATTTCTGGACTGATTCTTCAGTTACTTTGGCATGGATAAAAGGAGAATCCAGCTGTTCGAAGACTTTCGTAGCTAATAGGGTGAGTGAAATACAAACCTTGACAAATATAAACAATTGGCATCATGTTAAATCTCAAGAGAATCCAGTGGATTTGTTATCTAGGGGTGTAACGCCTAAACAGATGTGTGAAAGTAGATTATGGCTTCATGGACCAGACTGGTTCGCAACACCAAATTTAGAATGGGATATGAAAGACCCAGAAATAGATTTTGATATTCCAGAAAAACAATCCTACAGTAACAGCTGTGAATCAGAAACAGAATGTGTTAGAAATATTACTAAAAAAATTTTCCTGTTTAAATAAAATTTTACAGGTTTTAAGCTACGTTACAAGATTTATCAAAAAATTAAAAATAAGTAGGTCGAATAAAAAGATGACAAACCTTAATGAGGTTTTAGTCCCAGAGGAAATTGAAAATTA